CAATCTCCATCTCCTGTAACCATTAATGGCGTCTTAAAAACCACCAATTCTACTCTTAGGTGGCTAGGCGTCATTCTCGACACCAAGCTCTCTTTCAAACAAAATGTGCAGGAATGGAGCGCCAAAACGCAACGGATTGGCGCCCATATTCGACAGCTTGGAAATAACAACCGTGGAGTACTAACAACTTTTCTGCGCACTGCAGCCCTAGCTGCGGCACTACCGGTCCTTTGGTACGGTGCTGAGGTATGGTGGCGTGGCCGCTTGACTTCTACCCGATCCCAACAGCTTGTATCTATGGTCTCTCGAGCTATGGTCAACTTGGCTGATGCAATTCTACCAGTATACAAAACCACTCCTACTGCAGCACCTTTCAGAGATGTGTGGTTCAAACCGGCACAAATTCTACTTGAAGAGACGCGCCTAAAATCTACAATTAGAATAGCCGCTGCTGACTACTTTCACCCTTTGGTCAAAAGATACGATGACTCCCGGGCGCACACCTGTTTAACTGGAAAAGTGCAGCTCGTTCCCCCTTTCTCCGTTCTCGGCTCGTACCGCCCTCGTATAGAGATTTCCCAATCCTTACTTGGGTTGGACTTCCCTCTGATGTCACGGTTTCAGTACAAAATGCTTGGGCGATCTTGTAAGTACAGTATATTAATTATAATTCTCTAGAGAGAGAATTCCTATAGCTAGAATACAAATATATATACACTCTGAGATACCCCTCTTCTGTAAGGTTCTCCCTATATCTGGAATAACATGGAATCCTCGACAATACCCTAGAAGATTCTTGATACACCTGTGGTTCTCATGAACCTTCAGTATGCTTCCAGAAAGTTCATTGAGAATCTTCTAAGCTCCTTGTATTCCGAGATCCTTCCCGAAGATTCCCTTGCATTCATTGCCTGCGCTAGCCAGCGTAGGCTACAGGAATCCCTAGGCTTAACAGCCGTTACATCTGAAGAAGCTTCCCAGCTCATTAGGAACCTACCGCCATGAGACATCCTCGTCTTCTCGGACGGCTCTAAACAAAAACATGGATCTGCTGGGACAGGTGCCGTCGTTCTCCATAGGGTAACTACCGTAGCAACAGTGAGAGTCCCGCTAGGCCCCGACTTTGAGGTCCATGACTCCGAGATAATTGGAGCCCTCGCAGAGCTTAATGCCGCTGTAGCAGCTCCTTCTACCCACCTGGCAACCAATATACACGTAATTTTAGACAATCAAGAGGCAGCGCGATGCCTTCTCGATGAAACGCCTTCTAAAACCTCATAGCAAGAAATATTCGAATTCCAAAACCTCGCCTCCCAGTGTGTTAAGGGCGAAGAGGATTACGGACACCGCACGTAAACAGTACCACAAAGAATTAATATTTTTCTATAGAGATTAACTACAGGAAATATGCCCTCTGAAGCTACCAGTGATCTTGATTCCTGACAAGTAATCCTTCGCCATTGAGTGATCTATTTCCCAGCCTCAGCATAATTAAGTGAGTGACTCGAGTCATGAGAAACGACCTCACGTTTGTCACGTGATTAAAGTCATTGAACGAGGCTGGGCCTGAAAGATAGCCCAGCCTAATCGAGCGGGGCCCTCTCGCAACCTCCGGAGAAATCTCCTTCCCCAGCTCCTAGGCTACGAAAAGCTAGGAATAATATCAGCACCCACTAGGCCAAAAGAACTTGCCCTTCCGCGCGCCACTCTAGGTCGAATTCTAGCAGCTAGATCTGGACACGGCGACTTCGCTGACTATCACGAGCGGTTCAATCATGAAAATGCATCAAATTACTGCCGATGTGGCCGTCGTAAGGCCCCACTACATTGCTTTTTCTGTCATATAGCGAAAAGAAGATCACGACTAATGCAGGGTCCGCCTTCGGAAATGATCCCGTTCATTCTTGACACATATGAAGGAGGTCAAAGATTTGGAGAATGGCTACAGGAAACCCGATTCTTCACAGATATCTGCCCATAATCTTGAGGTTTCAAGTGTCGCGAAAAACCAGCAAACGATGGAAGGAAGATAAGCAATTTAGACTCCTTTTTTTTTCTAATTTATTTTTCCGGTAGTGGAGGTCAACAGGGAGTGTGGGTTGACCTGCGCAGAGAATGGCGCCGAGAAAGTATCTTACCACCACAAATAAGAGCCTAAAAAAACTGCGGGAAGTAGCTATGTGAATGCACCTCCTTTATATGTTAAATAGTTTAATTTTGTTTTTTTGCTTTCCTTTAAAACATGTAGAAGCCCAGAGATTAAATCCTGGCGTCTTTTGTCTCAGTAGGGACTTAATAGGGTTACTCGCTTGACGCGTGATCCGCCAGACTTTAAATAAAGATAAATAAATAAAATAAATAATCGAGCGGGGCACAGCCCGTAACACAGTGGCCCTCTAAGAGAATTCTGCCAGTCGCAGCTCCTGGTCAAGTCGGCGTGATGTGGTCGCCTGGCCTTGTGGATATCTCAGGTAATGAATTAGCCGATAAGCTGGCTGGTGAGGCTGCCCGCCAATTGGCTTCCCCTGCTGCATCTCCTGCTAGGGCTCGCACAATGATGAAACAGCACAAATGGGACCTGACTTCCGCATGGTAGCAAAGTCACGCTCCTTCCACCTATTGTGAGTTAGGAATGCCATTACCCAAGAAACCTCCCAAGGAGCTACGACTCCCTCGCCGCAATCTTGGGTACCTTTTTCAATGCTGAACTGGACACGGAGACTTTTGCACTTATCACGATCGCTTCTGACACGTAGACGCCCACTTGACTTGCTCCTGCGGGGGTGACAAGTCAATCACCCACCTAGTTTTCTGCCCCCTCGTTCGAGAGAGACTAGCCTCAACTGGTTACCCAAGAAGCTCGGGGAAGCTTGATTTGCTTCTTGGCTTATCCCGTGGTGCTAAGCATATTTCTTTTATTTTGGAGAAGGTTATGTTCCCGTCAGAAATCTGGCCACTTCGTAACATATGAGCTATTCTTGTGAGGTACCCACTGCATAGCGCTCGCAGTCTCTAAATGTATTTTCATGGCCTCTGCCACTGCACATCACATCTTGTAATACATAGCAGTTACCATGTCTCCTCAGGAATGGGGCTTTAGTTGTAACTAGTGCCCGGTAGACATAAAAAATAAATAAATAAAATATGAGCCGACAGATATAATCCTTGATATCAACGGTCAGGTAAGAATTTAGATTTCATCTATGTTACTTTTGGAATCCGTGGGGATTAAACTCTTTATACCCTAATACGAATATAACTATAGAAGGCGGCTCCAATGTAAAAATGTAGTAAGTAGATTGGAAGTGGAAGTAGAAACACTGGAGACAGAAATATGCTTAATCATCATTTGCGCATACGTGATTCCACCTTGAAATGAGAGCAAAACTGCTACTCAAAATTCTAGATCTTTCACAATAAGAGTGTCACATAGTAATGATGACGGTCGATCTCGTATTTTAATATTCAAAATCCATTTTTTAAAGATATAGATAAATATTTCTTCCAACGGCCAGAATTTGGTAAATTACTCTCCTTTGACAGACAGCCCCATAGGTTTGCTCCATTTACGGCATCCTTCTAATCGATCAGTAAATACCGTCGAGTCACATAATAAGCCAAGGGGTCAGGTATTTTTTTCTTTAACAGCCTTTCCTTCATGGTATACTTATAACTACATCTCAGAATAAGTAGATATAGTGGGCAGCAATAGAGGCAGGGGTTTTCACGTTTGCTAGTAAGTTTCGGTGAGTGCTCTTAAAGCCTAGAGCCATCGATGTTTTCATTTCTTAATATTTTTTTAAAATTACGGAGCTACTTAGTGCGCTATGGGAATAATACCTTCGTATCATAATTTGGAGGAAGTATGAATTACAATTTTCGACTCAATCGTTATTTATTCAAGTGTAATTCTTTTTCAATATCGAAGGCATAGAAATCTGAAGACTTCAGTACCTCGTAATAACTTGATTCGTTTCGAGGCTGTAAAGATAGGTTGTAGACTCAAAGTCGTTGTAATGTAAGTTGAAGCTCTGCTGAATAATTAGCCCTTCACTGCCCGACAGGTGATAGAATTAGAATAAATCGGCAGCTACATACCTCTGTGAGTAATGTAGAGGATTATCACATACATGAACCGTGTGTGAAGATGTTTGATAAGGACTTTATATGTCCCATGTGCATCAAAAATTTCGTTTTCTCACTTAAATTGGAGAAAAATCCTGGACTTTGGTTGAGGGTGGTGCCTGGCTAGTCGTTGGTAGCAATCATGCTAAGGTCTACTTCAAAGAAATCAAGACATTGAGTAAGCTGTACTTCAATGAAAAAATAGAAGCAGCTATTTCAGAAATTAAATAAAAATTTCGATAAAATTATCCATAGATCCGAAATATATAACTTCTTACTGGTAGATAGACTATCCCAATACCTTCAATCATTCGTCGTCACATAAATGATATTTCGATCGCGGAGACGTCACTCGTCCATAAATGGAGAATGTACTTGCATCGGGATGTTCTCCTGATTGATTTGTGATACGCATGAGAGTTTTTTGCCAGGAAAGCGCCTATTGGCAATATCGCCGAGGCTCTACCTAATTGCACGAAAAACACATATCAGAGTTATTTTATCGCCAACTGAAGAGAATTTCCAGATAGAAAAATTCAGGTGGTTTTTTGCGGAGGGCAAAACAGGAATTCGTTGGCGAAAACCCGTGTACGCATGGATGTATCAATTGAGAAATCGATGACTTTCAATCTCTATGGTTAGCCGTAGTAAAACCAGACACCTTTCTTCCCAAACTTAGATTGAAATACTTATATTCAAACATGAGCCAAACTTCTCTCAATAGCTTATCATCCCTTTCCGACCTGAAAATTTCATACTCACACGAAAATCTAAAGCCAAGCCGTCTTTTGTGGGTCATGGATTTTGTAGAAGCAGTTGTAATAAGAATTGCCTCATTATTACAGACTAACTGATATTCCGTGTGCCCATACGCCCTAATTGCATCGCCGGCGCTTACTGGGGCTTGATGGCGTAGAAACGTTCTCAACAGTGCTACTAATATTAACATTATCAGGAACGAGAAATGAATCATCTACTTGTTCGTGCGTCTGCGGCGATAAAAAACCCACGTCATTGCTTTCTGGAAATTCGAGCTTTATCCCTACACCACCATCCATATCTAGGCAAAAGTTGCCGTCATCAAGTCCCTCATAATCTTGAGAAATAGGATTTCCTGGTGTTATTGAGTTATTGCCCGTAAAATAGGCGCTAGTATCGAGAAGTTGATCAAGGTCAAGGTTACTATTTGAGAGATCAGGGTTGAAGTAATCTGATTCTTCATTACAAGTAATTAATCCTGCTGATGAAGGCGAAATAAGATTATCTTTGACAGCGTTAATCTTAGTATCTTGCTGGATGTGTAGTCGCAGTAAGTCATCGATCTCTTTAGATGTATACCTAATATCTTCGAATGGTGAAGGTGGTGGTGGAGGAGAGATAGGTCCATCATTCAGGCCTGGAGCCGAGCTATTAGCCATAAGAGAAAGCATGGTATTTCGCTGCTCTGATGTCAGTGTGGAGTTTTGACCGGCATCTTTATAGTGCGATAACATATCGGGTAGCTCCGTAGTATTAGAAGATGCAGCCTGATTCATAGCAGAGTTTGTATTATTGATCAAGGCCATCATCAACTCAGGTGGTTGTCGCTGAGCGGTTGACTCAGCTTTTGGAGGCGACTTAGGTGACTGAGATATACGAGAGCCACCCCGCGATGTTTCGAAGACTTCATCGATAGTATTTGGTTGTGTTTTTGAGGGCGCAAAGTTTGGAGGGTTTGGAGTATTTCGGCCATTGAGTGAGTTGGAGAAGTTTGAAGCAAGCCCTGCCCACTTTTTTGAGGGGGGGGGAGCCATCAAGAGACGCTGCGCTTTCCGACGTGGACTCATACTACCGGGAGTTTGCTCCTGTCGATTAGAAATTCCTCCAATATCTACTACATTCCCTGCAGGTTGTGGTTCCCCGTGGGGAATAGTGTTTGTAAACATCTGGGAAATATTCGGAGTATTCTGTCCATCAAGACTTCGATTGTAAACTGTTGCAAGAAAGCTTAGGATAGCGTTAATTGAGTTTTCATGTCGATCGTGGAGGGATTGAAAAGCCATAGACTGTTGGTAAAGAGTGTTATGATCTTTTCGTAGACGTTGGATGGCATTGGTGATGGCAGTTTGTTGTAGCTGAATCTCAGCAAGTTGAGTGTGGATGACATTAACATCTCGACGCTGTAAAGAGTTTGACTCTGGGCCTGTTGATAGAGCTCGCGAGTTTTGAGTGGAATTTCCGAAAATCTCTTCTACATCCTTATCATCATCGCTCTCTACATGAAGAGTCTCGGGATCTTTTGATTTTTTCTTATTTTTTGCATTTCCAGATTTGGGCTTGTTTATTAGCCATAAGAGGTTCTGGTGCCCCCGCTTAAAATAAGGATTATAATATTCGCTAGGACTTTTGTTCTTGCGCTCACTTGCTTTCATTGAATTGTCCGAAAGCCCTACTCTCTTGTGGAACCCATACATATTTAATTGTCGCACAAAGGATGCGTAATTATTATGCTTGAATAATTCTGGTATCAAAGTCTTCGCGAACTCGTCCTCGTCTAACACGACAAAAGAATCACCACGTTCGGACCATCGAATTAGATCAGTATTCCGTGATTCCTCTAAGAAACTAAATTCTAGTCAGTAGCGGGGCTTAAGGTGCTGGTGGTGGCCTAATAATAGCTTACCTGCTCAACTTTTGAACAAATGGTGGAATCTGCTTTCGTTTTGCTTGCGCATCCCTTTTGGCAATGGAAGCTTTCTCTTCAAGTATTTCGATACTGTTATGCTCCTCTTCAGGAGCATTGGGGTTGGATGGGTCCAAAGTAGTTTCATCTGCAAACGAGCCCCACTGGTCGAGGCTCTCATAAATTGACTGTCCAGTCTGCATCAATTCATGGTTTATGGGTCGCCTGGCCAGTTGAGTTGAAAGTGGCTGTGATGACTGATCATACATAGTCTTAGTTGTTGAAATTTTAGCATGATTATTCGTGTTATAGCGGGAGGAATCAGGGGACATAGAGCCTTCGGGAGAATGAGTCCACTTCATTAAGTCTACGTTTGAGACTTGATCCGTAGGAGTATAAAGTTGGGTTACGTTCCCGGTCGGCACGGAGGGTACGCTGGGAGCATTGCGTTTGCGAGAATTTCTTGATGACGTTGGGAAAGCCATAGAGCCTAACACAGGAGAGCGGATCTGATATCGGAAGTGTAAAAATTCACAACACTTTAATGATGCCGCAAAGTGGCATGTGAGTTCTTTGAGCTTGCCGACCGAAGATCAGGCCAAAATTTTTACCTTAAACTGTATCGATACCTGATCTTTGCTCTAACTTTTCCAATTGGTTCACAGGTGTTGGTCTCTTGGAGTTTTCTTGCAGTCAGTATATGTCAAGATAGACCAATTTATAAGCAAGAGTTTCGGGAAATTTTGTGGCAACTAGTACTTGAGAGGCTTGAGGTTTAATTGATAATATTTGTAAAAGTTGAATAGCTTGAGTAGGCAGATAAAAGTTATTTCTTGATAGCTTATCCTTTCTGGTGTGAACTCACAGTTCCACCAAGTAATGCATAGAGTAAAGTTAGAAAGCTGCAGTATAGTCACGCCGACTACTTTCGATCGACATGCAGTATCTGTGTGCTCGGGTAGAGATGGTGTATTTTCCAACAAAACGAAACCGGACCTGAGTGCGAGAAATAAAAATGGGTGAGTTAGTCGTCGGTAGTCGGAAAGGGACAAAGCCTTGCAAATCGGGGCGGTACGTCACGGTGCTCGATCATCGCCGGCATCAGAATTCAGAATTGCCCATCTGCTATGGCACATTTCACTGGCCCTATTGAACAGCGTTGGCGGAATCATGACCCACCTACCCCAACAATCCTCTATTAATGTTAAAGTTGTTTCATAGCCCACATAGATCAAACATAAATTTAAAGCCCCTGCTCAACCAAAGAATAGTAAGTAATCCTGCATGTCCTACATAGTCATAGACTCAGACAGGACAATAAAATGAATTAAGAAAAAAAATAGGAAGTATTCGAAGGAAGACGATGACTGAGCAACTGACCGCTGTATCTACTACGATACTAGCTCTAAAATATTCTCCCAGTGCCGGATTCAGTCGAATATCGCAATACAAAGGAAGTTTTCACACGAGACAATGTTCTAATACTCCCTTCTAAATAAATATCTCGCCCCCCGAAAAGCTTGGTTCCGAATAAAGCCTAATCAAAGCTGCAAGTACGAAATGATACGCCTCTCGACGACTCGGCCTCTGGATCTATCTGATTTCCAGATGCATGCCCTCGACAACAAAATAACAGCATGAGGTGCCAAATTTCGGAGCACAAACTGGGGCGTAGATCTTAGAGACATACGTAAGATTTACCAGGATAGATGAAGATGATGCGAAAAACGTTCGTTATCCCCAAAGTTGAAAGTATTCGATTTTTGGTTAAGAGTTTTTTCAGTTGAAGTACTTCATGCACAAGCGTTCATGTGCAAGAGTACAGATGACACTAAAAACATCGTAATGTTTGATTGTTGCGGTGGTGCATCATGTGGGACAGCCTCTCAAGTAGATTCTGTATAGTTTGGATGAATATGTCTCCCAAGAAAGGAGATGGTTGGTTCGAATCCATCGAAACATGACCACATTTCTCGCGGTGCTTGTGTGCATTGGTGATGGGGGCATGCTTGGACAGCAAAAGTCTCTAAAACTTATCTTGATTTTTTGCTCAAGGTGAGGGCTTGATTGTTCCGTGTGAAAGAAAACAGCACCAAGTGATATTTACGAATGAAACCCAGGGCGAGGATATCACTGGGGTTGAGAGAGTCACAGAACATGTACACATAACTTTGATAAATTGACGGAGTTAGATAGCTGAATACATGTAAAATGAATAAAAATATAGAAGGCCTCGGCATTATCCAATAGTCCCACAATAATACCTTCATCTTTTATAAGGAAGTGAGAGCAGAATACTTTGTGCTCAATGCTGTGTGTCGGGGGACGAAATTTCCACAGATGGTTATGTCCCTACAAACCTCTAGCTCTTGCTGGAGGGTAAAGATTGAGTAATACCTCAGTTCTAATTTCGATTAAGATCTCCAATCGCTTTCAGGGTCTGTATCGTCTTCATCCCTCAACCCATCCATCTATCACCATTATCATAGAGCTAACCACGATCAAATCTGATGGTAGGGTCAAAGCCCTTCTATCACAAACCCTTGATCATACATGGAAAGTCATCCGATGAGTTCTAAAGCGTATTCAGCGCCTAATATGGCGATAATGGATTGGATCAAGATGGCCACGAATGTTACAAAGAAGATACATGTTGACGGATATGCGCAACTCGTGTAGCTAATGTCTAGTCCTCGCCTTACTGAGGCTACAGGTTTTTTGAGAATCTTTTCCGCTCATTCATTATCCATTGTTCAAGATTAAGTGGATGTAACGGCTTGTGAGCCTATTGTTGTGTGGCACGTGATTGTATTTACGTGCTTCTATAATGCCACAGTAGTCCAGCTTTATTCTAGATCAGTTCAGCTGTAACTGGAAATTTCTAGTAATTGGCAGCAAGTCTGGGAACTACTATGACTGAAATATACGGGAAGCAGATATTAGTCAAGAACGAGTATTCTAGAGATCTTCATAAATGTATAAATAGTTGGAGTAACACTCCAATTGTTAGCCACAGAGAAAATTACAGACTACCTTCGTACATCTGATTGCCGCAGCATCGACACTCGAACCGTAACAGTGGAAAAATATTTTTTATGCATCAGATTTTAATTGCATTTGAAGCAATCTAGCTATGACACAATTTCAGAGTAAAAGTCTTGAAAAGATGATTTGCTTTGAAAACATAACACTCAAGCCTTGTATTTTATTTTTAAGTACCACTGCGAAGTTATTGTGGCTTATTCTTCACCAAAAGACAAGCCTCATCCGTGAATAACCACCCGAGGGAACATATTAAAAGCCCTGAGTTGTTCATACATGCTCGTATCGTTAATTAAATTTTCTCTGTGTGAATTAAGATCTGAGGCGTCTCCTTACCAAGTGTATGTGTTTGCGTTTATTGAACTACTTGAGTCTATGTCTGTTGTGGTTATGAGCTGTGAGGTATATAGCAATTATGTCTCTGCTGTCCTTCGGTGGAATTACACGGGCTCATGTGCAATGGTGAGTCGCGGAGATGGCGCGCTCACGCTGGGTGATGGCACGATGGACACTGAGTGCGTATCACTGTGGCCAAATGGGTGTCAGTAGGTATCAAATGTGAACTCTTACTGACGATGGTGATCTATGAAGGTGATGCTAGATGTGCATCCCGACGATTGATAATATCATCTAATGGATGATGTGAAGTATGATATTATTTTGGATAGATTGATTCACTAAACTCGGCTGGTGAAGAGATTGTATAGTACATGAACAGCGTCTGTGCACCAGCCTGTATTTTCCACCCTTTCCTAATCCAGCAGCCCATCCTCCGTTCCCCTGTCTCCTAACAACTCAACCGAGTCAGCACAACTATGTCACGGTTTGCTTTGTAGATGTTTTTTACGGACGTGCACGGTGATGCAGGGGCTAGAAACGGAATATGTGCGTTAATGTCTTGGCATTTAGACGTGGTAATATGGAGACATTATTTATTTTTTTATTTATCTTTATGTAACGTCTGGCGGATCACGCGTCAAGCGAGTAACCCTATTAAGTCCCTACTGAGACAAAAGACGCCATATGGAGACATTAGGTAGAGGATAGAACAGAACAATAGACAATCAAACGATTCTATCCACTGATCATCAATGCTATCAAGTCCATATTCAATTACTGAATAGTCTATGACTATTTTGCACATCGGGCTCCTCTCTGACCCAGGCCACACCTTGTACAGTGCTCCTATTCTCTTCTGTTACTTCAAAGATCACTAATACATTCCCCTTGATGAATAGCCACTCAGCTCAGTGTTTACCCGTGAAATTCGGCCACCTTTTCCACGTAACTTTTTACCCAAAAATTTAAAAAGGTAGTAATGGAAACTGCGGGCGCGGGAAAAAGTCTCAAAAAATCTGCAGGCCCAGCCAGGCGAGGCCTAGACACCGGGACCACATGAGGTGCGCATATTCATCTATATCTCCCTTCTTCGTAACAGTTGAGGTCGACTTGATCCAATCCGCCATCTCCGTATCGGGTGCTGGGTAAGCTCCGGAAACTCATCGAATGGCTTTTCCTCCATGATCAAGGGTTGTTGATGAGAGAGACTGTGACCCTGATATCTAGTATGATCGTGTTTAGCCTCATGATAATGGCAATAGGGGGATGTGTTGAGTGATGAAGACGATATGGGCGGCGAAAGCGATTAGGAATCCTCATCGAAGTGAGGAATTCTTGGGACCGAGTTTTTCACATTCAAGAGCATTGTGCGACCTACGACTCCAATTGCGAGACTAAAGACGACTATATAAATACCGCCATTATTAGATGATGCAGTGGTACGCAAACTAGGCTCGTCTACCAAGTAGGGTTTATATAGCTTGGATGCCTATCCAGCTTTAGGCAGGAGAGGGTTAGTTCGAGTCCAGCAGAGCTCTACCAAATTTCTAGTGGTGATCTTGTGCATGGATAATCAAAGCGGTTCGCCTGTTTTGAAAAAGCAAAAAAACCTCATAGTGATGTTTGCAAATTAAATCAGGTGTCTGAGTGTCTCAATGGAGGGCAAGACTGAACATCTGTACGCGTTGTCCTCTGCAAACCTGGGAGTGAAATATATTCCCAAAGCCAAGTTCAGGCAAATTTCGCAATTTCAAAGAAGTTGGCCCTCAAGGCAATGATTCAAAATACCCCACCACATCAAATCTTCACCCCCAAAGAGTCCGATTCTTGCCCAAGCCTCATCAAGTCTACAAGTACGACCTAGTACATCCTCATTCCAATGACCACACCTGTTGTCGACTTTCTCTGGTCTCAGCCAGTCACTAAATACACGCCCACGCCGATATTTATAGCCGACGGAGGACACAAAGCGTGGCGCACAAATCTGGGAGACAGTTCTTTGGTATTTGCGTGAGAGGATTCAGGACAAGTTGATAAGATGATGCGAAGGATGGATACAAACTCGACGGGCGTTGAATTTTGAACTTTGGCAAGGAGTTTTTACAAATTGAGCTTTGTGCGTGCCAAATCTTCGGTTGCGAGAGTGCAGGCGACACTATAAACATCGCCATGGTTGGATGGTGCAGTGGTACATCGTCTTGGCCGGTCTGCCAAGTAGAGTCTGGATAGCTTGGACACATGTCCCACTCGAGACAGTAGATCGCTGGTTCGAATCCGGCAGAACACAACCACTTTTCTCGCATCGCTGGTATACATGGATGACGAAGGCATGTTTGAATAACCAAAGGTTTTGAAATTACATTTGGTGGGTACTTACGGAGGAGGGTCGACTGTTTGTGTAAGCAAGCATACCTCATAGTGGTATTTGCAAATTAAATACAGAGTATGAGTGTTTCTAATGTCAAAAGAGTCATCCCACATGTATACATAGTACCGGTCATGTGTCATAACTAGATAGCTGAATACACATTAAATGATATAATAAAAAAAAAGAGAGTCTCAATTCAAAGAGTCACCCATACTCACATATAGCACTGGTCAGGTGTCATAACTAGATGCATGCATACACTTACATTATATCCATAACATAGCTCCGGTATATAAATATAAATATATATATATATATAATTAATTTCCCTGGTTTGGCGCCTTGTGGCGCATGCAGGTTTTTATCGGAAGATGTGTACTTTAAATAGGATGACTCAATTTGACATTTAGAACACACACTCAGATTCCATTTGCAAATACCACTCGAGGTTAACCCTTACGCGTATAACCTCTTTCGTGCATACCCACAACAGGGAAAAGCGTGAAAAACCTGTGGCTATCCAAGTATGCTTTCATCATCTCACAAGCACAATAGCACCGCGAGAGAGAGTGGTGTGTGGGTCTGACTGGATTCGAACCAGCTTTCTCCTGTCTCGAATGGGGCAGGTCTTCAAGCTACCAAGTATTTACTTGGGAGAACGGCCCGGATGGTGTACTACTGCACCATCCAACCCTTAGCTCCGGTGTAGATAAGGGAAGTTGATTTACTTCTAGGCCTATCGCTTATCTATCAACCCGAACTTCTAACATGGAAAGAAGTACAAGAAATTGATGCCAGCTTCTGACGGCTAAAATTTCAAATTATGAAAAACATGAAGCAGTCGTAATTTTGACATCACATCTCTTCAAATTCAAGGCTAGCGCGTAAAAGGGGTTTCAAAGTTGAACCGTTTTAATATCTTCTGGGCCCAATTTGGGTGATACAGATTTGTGCTTGTTTTAAATAAGAATTTAATTTGTTTAGCAGTTGTTTGAGCAGCCCAAGCTTTTGCTTCCTTCCTTATAAACACCTGTACCATACAACGAACGCCAATCGCTATAAGCCAGACATAGCCCTATAATTTCAATTCATGCAAATAGTTCCGCAGTATCCAGGTGATCCCTCTCCTTCTGTCTTCCTCCAGTCCGTAAACCTAGGTCCTCTTTTTTCGCGAACTGCTCCACGTTTTGTTCGGCCCGCGAATTATAGCGTCCTGCCTTTTTCAACCGAATCTCTGATCTAACCTGGTTCGGGCTTACAAACTCTTTATTCTCGTATATAATCGGACCACCGAAACTTCCCTCTTGAATAACAATGGGTGTGAGTACCAGCCTTGGTCCGATTTCCACAAGACTAATATCTGTGTCGCTGCTCTTGCCATTGTGGGTTCCCCTGATTTTGGCTTCATCTAGGGTTGCCGTTGCTTTGGCTGCTTCCACTTCATTTATCTGGTAGTTTCGAACCCATATCTTACCATCAGCAATAGTGAAGCTCATGACGTGATCAATAAAGGGCTTGGACTTTCGAGCTCCCTTGGGCACGCCAAATACTTGGAGGAAGATTTCCTTGAGAAGTCTGAGATGTGGTTTGCTATCAAACGAAGCGTCGAAGGAGAGAATAGGCCTAGACCCCTTCAAGCAATTTCCTGTGAAATGGAGCTCTTCCATGGTGTGTACTACGGTATAACGTTAGTTTTTCGGTGTAATGTTGGTAAGAAATCCCTACAATTCTGCGCGTGCATCTTTACCGTTGGACCATTTGGCGCCTTGCTTATCCAGATGTAAAGATCTTTTCCTTTACGGGCCTCAAAGAAAACTATGTTATTACAGTTGTACATTTCTGCTATTTCGTTCAATTGGTATAATTTGGACTTTGTATCGAGTTTAGCATCTTTTCGACTGTGAGGCAAAAGGGACGAAATATCGTTTAATAAATGCCGGTGCCTAAGAAAATTCAGATAAACATCGCATCAATTTCCTTCGCTTTAATTTATTTACCTATAGGTGACTCCTCTTGAAGACAATATAAGAACTCTTTGCTTGTTCTTCTTGGGCTCAATGGTCTTATCATTTCCTTTTAGGGAATCAGATTTTTGTAACGACTTGTAGACGGATGCCATTTTTTGAGCAGACGTAGATGTAGTCGGGGCTCAATTTGCTTTCTGTTCGTCAGCTCGCACTCAATTTGACCTCAAAAAGATTGATAATGGGTGATGAAGGGTAGATGATTATGATCCTGACTCAACGTGTGGCGAGCGGCAAAGTGCGTAATTTTTTTAATTAATATAGAGTCGTGCCAGTGCATAGCTCATGTCAACTGTCACGTGGCGGACGGCCCAGCTTGTAAAATCGTACCTGAACACCTTTCAACCTACAAGAACCAGACTTGATCGAGGATTATTAGATCACTTTTCAGATTCTATATGGCCTACAACAAAGTTCCCCAGTATCGCCCATTCTATTTCCTCTCAATGCAGAGCCAGTCATGCGTTTCACACGCGAATATTTCGGCTATGCGGATGATACCTCAACGTTCGAAGCAGACTCAAATCTTGAGAACTGCAGTCAGAGGCTACAGTTAAGATTGAGAAGAATTCTACAGTCGGGTAAGGAGAGCGGTGTTCAGTTTGAGCCCACGTAGACTGAGCTCCAATATTTTCATAACAAAAGAATATATCAGGAACCTCCCCTTAATGATGGAGGGAACCTTAGTTCTTCCGAACGACCACACCCGCTGGCTTAGGATAGTCTTCGATAGGAAGCTATTATTCAAGTGACATGTATAGCGGGTCTGCCGGCGCTGTTATGTGGTGACCGATCACATCAAGATACTAAGCAATACTGTGAAAGGTACCCATCCTACTCTTCTACAGTAAGCTCCCTCGGCATAGCTTTTGCTCCATTTTTTTACGGAGCTGAGGCGTTGTAAGACCTAAAACGTCTAAGTGGGCAGTAAATCAAGTCCAAGGGGCAATTAATAAAGCAGCTCGAGCTGTATTATCAGTGTATGAAACTACCCATATCCCAGCCATCTTGCGGGGAAATGGACGGGCCTCAGTGACTAGCTGGCTAGAAAGGATACTCGATCGCTTTGTGATTTGAGTTGTCTCGGCTGATCTAAAGTACCCCTAACGAATCCGTTGGAATACAGGACATTTCCAATGGATCAGGAGCCGTCAAAAGTTTAAATCGTCGCTGGAAACTATTACCCCTCGGTTGAATCTCAACGGGAGTAAAGCTAAGGAAGAAATTGGGGCTATCGGCCGGGAAAATATCTGGCGGAATATCGAAAGAGAGAGCCAAGGGCATAACTTGTTAGATATTTTTACATTTTGAGACGGACAATGAACGAGGAAGAAGAGGCAGTGAGTGCGTACCTTACTACCGGGGTCCGAACCTAGAAATTACAGATGCAAAGATTTCCTTTGGTCGAACAGTAGAAGTCTCAGATGCAGAGATTATTGGGGTAGTTGAGGGGCTAGTAGCAGCCACTGCACGTCGTATGTGAAAACAGACGGTACTTCAGCTTCTTAAAAATTTATGTCAAAATGATATCTATTTTCTATCTAGAAGTAAAAGTATATAAATTTGTTTACCCCCCCCAGAAGTATTCAAAGAAGGTGCATAAAGCTTGTTGCAGGTGCCTACAATTATACTAGCAGCAGATTGCTAGAGCACGAATCGTCCGTCTTCTCTATAGAGATATACAGGAAACAAAGGAGAGTCCAGCACGCCGGACTATCAGCTAAACTCCCAGTTCAAGAGACAATAAAATCGACATGTAAGAGGATAAAGCTACCCACAAACGGGAGAGAAACTCCGCATACCTTGAACAAGAGTAAAGATCTCGCCGAATGGACAAGAACCTGCGGAAGGGAAAAGAACAAGGAGAGGCAGAAATAAGCTGGAAAGATGGCGGCCTTTCGTGAGTAGAAGGGTTCATAGACAAGCCAGGACAGGAAACAGCGCCCTGGCCGACCAGCATTAGCCGATCCAGAATATCGGAAAGTGGCAAATATACTTACTGATGAACATACAGGCATCACCAAATGAACATCAAAGATACACCCTTAAAAATCCACCGTATCATTACCAGGACCCAAAGCAGTGTCGCTATTTAGCTAAGAAGCTAAAATATCGGGCTCAACTCTTACTTGTATGGAAGGAAAGTACCCGGAGTAGAAAAGCCAAGCTGTCAATTTGGATATCCATCACAAAACATTAAGCACATGGTGTTGGCGTATCTGCAATTGGCAAGTGGAAGAGGTGACTTTATCCGACAAGCTAAAGACAGGTCATTGAAGTGATGATTAACAGCCCAGAAGATGTGGCTAGAATCACACAGTGGATACTAAGCAAGGGATGGATAGAACAGTTTCGACTTGCAGGAGAAGTCGAGGTAGTAATGTCGGATATAATAAATCGATCTGGAAGGGAAGAGGACGGAATCCACACTGGCTGAACAGTGTACACTGCACTTGCTAAAGGTAAACTAAACCAATTGATAGTAATATAAATAGACAGGTTCAGGGGGTGTTCACCAAATTGGTTTCCTCTGTAAATAAATTAGATAGTCACCTGCATGAACACATAAGGTGCCTGACCGCGTTAAATTAAATTAAATCCAACCCCCAAAATAGTATCAAAATGATAAAAAAGAATTAATAGATTGAAGTTTCAGTTATATCATACATCGTGACCCTTCAACCTCTGCCTCATTCCTTTCACGCGATGAGAATGTTTCAAAAGTCTTAGAGTTCGTCTGGTAACTTATCTAAACCAAATCATTTAGTGACAGCGCTATCCTGGTAGAATAGAAAAATTCGGGTATAGCATGCTAGGTGGTTTTAATATCTTGCATCAAGCGAATTACGGCTTGCTGAGACTCATAAAACGTCTTCGTTATTTTTACGGCCAGTTTGATATACTCATGTAGTCTAAATTTCAAGACAAAATGCCTTGTTTGAAAAGGGTATCAATTTATCATCGAGAAACGAGTTTACTATCCTCAATAGCGCCTTACGTCCTACCAACCTTACGAATTTTAAAGCTATAGAGCAGATAAATGAAACAAATTGAGAAATGAAGCTCTTGTTTCAACCGAGTCTCAACAACTCCGACCAGCCCTCCCAATAAAAGACACTATATTAAAAAAGTGTTATAGAGGGCAGCTCTTACTATCAGCTGCAGTACCTCTTTTACCTGTCACCCTGTGATTTAGCCATAGATTAATACTTTCTATTATCGGCTTCTTCCCTCTTGTTCCCGCAGTCGAGCTTGGTGGTATCCATCTGTACGCAGTCGACGATCATGTTCACGCTCATATTGATAATAATTTTCTGTTATTTCACAAATTGGGGAAGTTTGCTGTGTGCTATTACACACCCCAGTTGTGTTTCCATGCTGCTGCGTATTGTAATTACTAGAAATAACACTCTGTGTAGATTGAGAAAAGCTAGTCTGTCTTTGGATTGAGTTTTGTGAATTTGAAGATGGTATTTGAGTATTGAATCTTCCATCAAAACTACTACGTCTACTGCGAGTACTAGTATTGGGACTAACATGGTTCGTGTGAAGGGGGTTTTGGTTATGTGAAGCGTGTTGTATTTGATTCGGGTATTGTGAAGATGGGCTATTCACATTGTTGCTTGAACCACTGCTGTGGCCTGTATGTCCATATGAGATTTGTCGGTGGCCCACCTGATGTGGTTTTGGCTGTTGCGGAGCCTGCTGACCATGGGAGTGTGATTGTTGTGAGTGGGAATGATAGCTAGCTCGATTGTGTAATGTTGTGCTATTAGAGTAGGAGCCTGACGTTGAAATTGTTGACGCAGGATTGGCTTGTTGAATTTGTTGCGGAAGAAATTGCTGGTGAGAGTTGTGTGAAGTTCGTTGATGCTGACGTTGATGCCCATAATAGTCCCTATCTGGAGTTGTGATTTCAACTGGGGAGGTTGCAGCCTGAGCTTGTCTCAACGACTGGGACGGTGAATTTGCTGAGTATGGTGACTCTTTAAGGCGTGATCCTGATGGCTGGACAGAAGGTGTGCGAGTGTAGTTATTGGTAATGATGTGTATGTCGTTCACCGAAGCTTCCCGACGAGTAGGAGTAGAACCCTGATTATTGATGGATTGGCGTTGAGGCTGTTGCTGGGTTTGGTACTGGGTTTGCTGCTGCGATTGAAGCTGAACTTGCTGAGATTGTTGCCGCGAACTTTTTAGTGTGGCCTGTTGCTGTGTTTGTTGCTGTGATGAATGTGTGAACATTGATTGCGGTTGTGTTTGAATTGACGCAGCATATCCACGGCTCTCAAACTTTCCAGGAGTAGGGGTAAAGCTCCTTGTCTGGTTTCCAATGGGCGCAGGATGTGATTGCATCGGATGAGGACTTTGGTTGGTGTGTTGAATCTTTGGTTGAGAATGAGGATTGGGATGAGGATGCAGGTGAGACATCGTTTGAGATGGTGTTTGTGGTAAGATAGAAGTGACCGTTTGTGAATTAATCTGTGAGTTCTTTGTAGAAAAGCAAGGTGCAACAGAATGCGAGTAAGGCGACGGCGAGTTTTGTTGCGGTTTCTTGGAGGAGGACATATCATTAGCTCGGCTCGATGGCGTAGAGCGTGCTTCACAAGGCTCCTCATTCAGCAACGACATGATGCTGGAAGTTTTTCGAACAGTCTCTGGCTGACGTGTGGCTAAAGATACTGATGTTTGAGGAGCTGAATAAACTTCTTGCACCCGTTGTGCCGCATTAACAGGATTTTGTTGGGCTATCTGCGATGAATTTGACCTAAACTCACGATGAGCACCGGAACTTTCGCTCAAAAATGAGTTGTGGGTCGAATGTTGCAAGTGAGATTGGTGTGACTGGAATGGCTGTTGTGTTGGTCGTCTTGTTTCGGCGACAGGAATTGTTTGAAGTCCCTCGTTGCGTGATGGAAAACTACTGGCATTAAGCATACTTTGTGGAATATATGCATCATATTGTTTTAGTTCTGGACTTCTCTTTTCTTCCTTACGGGTAATGGCTTGCCGTTCGGGCTGCAGAACAAAATTTTGCTCGCGCTGCTGTGACGTTTTCTCACGGTGGAGAGTTATTTTCTGAGCTTCTTTCTGCATCACCTGAATTTGACGCTCGTGTTCCAGTTCATTTTCTCGCTCACGTCGTAGATTTTCTTGCTGTTGTGCTTGGTGTTCTCGCGCTCGTTGCGCTTGGATTTGTTGTTGCTCCCGATGAAGTTGTTGTTTCTGTTGCTCGTGCTGCTCTTGCTCTAAACGTAATGCAAGCTGTCGCTCCATCTGTGCGTCGTGAGCTGCCTTCAAGGTGCGCTGAGAAACCTGATCAGACTGAAGTTGTTGGCGTGAAGGACTAGTCGTTTCAAAATATCCTAGAGGCGGTCCCCTTCCTCTAGTTGTTGGGAGAGTTTGGGGAGGAGTCTGCTGAATGGGCTGCGGGGGTAAATGTCTACTTATTATTGCAGTAGTTGCAGCTGATGGTGTCTGTAGAATTGGACTAGCTTGTGCTATGGTAGGGAAACGTGGCGTGGTAAAGATTGCCGGTTGAGGTGATGCCTGAGATGACGAATTTGGTGGAACAGGGCTAAGCTCTTCGTTGTTTTCTGTTGAAGATCCTGATTTATGTATAGATGTGCCAGGAATATCTGTTCGTCTCTTTGGTGGAATAACTACAGGCGCAGGCAGTGGACCAGTGGGTTCTCCTCTTTCTTTTTTTTCATCGGCTGTTTTAGCAATAATTTCCCACTCCTTCATTTTACCATTATCTACCTGTCTTTGATAGTAATTCTTTACCTAATTAATAAGACTCAGTTATAACTTTCACCAGTTGATAGAAGCCAGTGCAAGGGAATGGGGAATTTACCATTATGTGTGTTTTAGTAGTCATATGTTTTGCAATTCCATGCCAATTTGTTCCAAAGTGCCCCAAAAGAGCAGAAAATACGTCCTGCTCAGGGACGCTCCAATAGCTCGAGGTTTGCTGAACTGTTTTTTGAGTTGAGGGCTGATCTATAGAGGATACTGATAGTAATCCAGGGTTATCCTGAGTAGATGCTGATTGTTGACTTGGCTGACAATTGATGTCGAGCATTGATTGAGAGTTAGCTTGGAAAGTAGATTGTAATTTTTGCTGGAATACTGGTTGGTGAGAAGATGGTGGAGTTGTTTGTGAAGTTTGTGGGGAGCATGGTTGAGGCTGACTTTCAGGTTGAGATGGAGAATTATACGGAGCCTGTGACAACTGTGTAGTTTGAGGAGTGTGATAGTGTTCAACTTTAGTGCTGCTTGAGTTTGAGCCGGTCGATTTAGATATGAATTCATTTGAAGTGTAAGTGATATTCAGGCTTGACGACGTATCTGATTTGTTGTACTGAATTTCGGGCTGAAGATTTTTGATAGGCTCTCGGCGACTAGCACCATCTAGTGTAGAGGACGGTGTTGCTGGTGAGTCATCAACTATTCTGCCACCTGTAGCCGCAACGGCGGGTTGATTGCCCTTGGCTTGCTTTGCAGCTTTCTCACGAGGAGCTTTTGCCTTTCTTTTAGTAGTAGAATTGACAGGAGTAGGGGGCTGTGTTTGAAGAGCTTCGAAGGTAGGCTCAATCTTCGGAGTTAAAACCTTTCGAGAAGCTACTGGTGCTGGGCTCGCAACCTCATTCTCACTAGCTTGGTCTTTCACGTCAGAGTTAAACGTTGGCGCCGCAGCTCTCCTTGGTCGTCTACTTCTGCTGTCAGTTTCTGCATCCTGCATATCATCTTCTTCTCGTGTAGAGCCAAGGTCATGTATAAGTGCAACATTTTTGTCTTTCTTGGATCTAGACTGTCGCCCTTTTTTTTTCTTACTATGATCTTTCAGTTTCTTCTTGAGGTTCGACGGATGCTTCACTAGGTAATAATGCTGAATACAAGATTTATAATCACGGTTTGGCAGGCATTCTGCTATCTTTCCCCACTGCTTAGGAAATTCAAAGTAGGCCTTCTCGAATAAAGCAGCTTCATTTGCAGTAAAATTATCGATTGGTTCTCCGAATTCAAGAATGGCAAACGATCTTTCAAAAGATATAAGTCCGGTACGGTCCTCGAAATCATTTTCGTATCTTTCTTCTTTGTCCCAAATCATGTCCGGAATTATAGCCTCTCTTGCAGTAGCGTTGCTTGCCCGTGAAACGCAATCATCTCGTTCCTTTGACTCTTTAGCTTCCTGTTCGGATTCGAGGAGTACTCTTTGAAGTTCATGTTCAGAGGCAAAACGGCTTCCGACACGTCGTGATCCTTCAGGCTTAGAGGCAGAAGATGCCATAACAGATGGTCGCGTGGCAGCTTCTGCAGCTGACTTTGCACGAGACTTCAAAAATTTTTCCCGACTACGGACAGCAGCAGGATCATTAGAATAATCAGTAAACCTCCGGTATCGATGGTACCGAACTGCCCAGAGTCGTCGTTCCTCGTCCTGTTCTCGTCTTCTTCGAGTGCTTGTCTCAGTCAAATGACGGACAATTTGCGCTTCGACCAATGAATTCGGCTCCAAAGTTTTAGAAAATTCTTTATCCTGATGCCAAGGTTTACAAGTAAAGCTGGGTAAACTTGATATAGGCGGCGTCTTCATTCGCTTCCGCACCGCTTCCAACGCCGGAAGGTTGTCGCAGTCTTTCGTCTCGCTTCCTTTTTCATCTTCAATCATCCCTACAGGGGCTGCCCTTTTCAGGCCCTGACTGTTTTGAGACGTGGTTTCGGTTCGAGATTTGTTTTTAGATCTTTCTATAAAATCTTCCTTAGTTTCCTTGTGGGTGTCTGAAGACCAGCTTAATAGTTCTGGGCCAAGGGTTCTGACAGAAATTTGAGGTTTCTGAGGTTTTGCAGACATAAGGTTTAGAGGAGAAGGTATATGAGATATTGTAGGGCCCTTAGGAGTTGTTGATTCGTGATTAGTCTTTGGCGAAGCCATTGCAGATAGTAACGGTCGAGGCCTCTTATTGTTCTTTGAAACCTGACAGTCATTTGGGTTAGCAAATTTAGTGGCTTCGATCACATCCAAGATGTCCGACTCCATTAAAATTTTTAGAAGGCAATCTTCAGGCTCTATGCTTGGAAGAAAAGGATTAGCATCCGTGAAGGTTTCAATTTCTGCCTGTACCCGTGCAATCTCCTTTTCAAAGTATTCATCTCCAAAGTCATCACCAGAATCTGAATTAGAACTGTTGGCCTCATCTTCTATTGCATGAGAATGAAGGTTTGCAGGACGTATACCAATTACAGGGTATCGTCTACAATCGGTGATAGTCGCTCTAGATGATGTAATTTTTGTGACGCAGGGCGAAATTTTTTCTGGCCTCTGGATAGAATTATGATTCAGCTTAGGAGATTTGAAGACTTCTCCTTCTTCTCTTTTTTCATTATCAATATTTTCCAATTTTTGCTCGAATTTTGAGATTGGTGATGAGGTACGTAAAGGTATGTTAGTAGGTGACATTGAATGACATGAGTTTTGGTCGATTATTTCTCGGCGTGAGTTTTCCGAAAAATTCTGCGCTGTACCCGCTACAGTAGATTTTCCTGATCTTCTTTCAGATCGTGGAGCCGTGGGAACAGCGATACCAGGAACAGGGCCATGTGTGTTCACTGCCGAACTAGTCGGTGGGTTAGGACCACTAGAGATAGAGTTAGTTGCAGATCCAAAAGCTGGAACCTGAGGGGGAGGGGTCGCTGAGGGTTGATTTCGATGATTCCAGCTATTATCTATAGGGGATCGGCTTTGACCAGAAGTTCGGTGTAACTCATCGTAATAGCTACCTCTAACCCTTCCACGTACACCTCTACCTCTACCGTATCCGCGAGTAAAAGGCTGTGCAGAATCTGACGGAACAGGCCCTGCGGATAAAGGTCCATCCCTTGATCCCCTCCTAGTACGATCTATATCCAGGCTGGGTGGTGGTTCCCTAATTTCTCGTTGGGCGTAGCTGGGTGATCGTCCTCTACCTTGAGGTGACGAGGGTCTCCGATTCCCAACATAGACTTCACGGCCTGCCCAACGGTCTCTACCACGTTCTTCCCGAAATGAGATGGGTGCTCTTCCGTCCCTTCGATCTCGGTAGTCTCTATCAATTTCACGTCCTCTTTCTCGACTTTCTTCCCGCCAACCACGACCTATGCCACGACCTCGTTCGCCCCTAACGTCACCTCGAATGCTAACTTCGCACCTGAAGTCTCCGTAGCTTGAAGCACGTGGGCCTGTTGGAGCATCGGGCACACCTTTTGGACCCCTTGGGGGGTCCCGAGATGGAAAGTCCCGAGAAGAATCCCGGCTTGTAGATTCACGAAAGAGCTCACGATTAGTGCTGAATATATTGTGAGTCGCACGAGTATCCGAGAATGACCTTCTTCGCTCCCGATTGGCTCCACCACGAAAATCATCGGGTGGATCGTTATACCGCGCTGTAGACTGGTCCCTTGGGGAGCGGCGAGCTTCACTCGAGTCATAACCTAGTTGATATCGAGACCTAACAGTCCCAGTCAGCCTGCTAGAATCTTTTAAATATGCGATAGGAGTATTCTAACATTCATGATTATGGGCAGTGGCCCGAGAATAATGCCATGCGACCAATAGAGACTGACTTAGTCGCCCGATGTGAGTGCGTGATTAAATATCAAAAATTATATTTCCGACTAATTATATGGTTTCTTAAGAATAGGATACTGTTCGTAGATTAAATTCTAGTCCCTAAAGTTGAATATGATCAAGTTGCTGTCGAAAGGTTCTGGGATGCTAGGCCATTTGTGAGGTAACAAGACGAATTACCATACAGTAATTTCCAGACTTGTGACTAAGTAAAGATTGATTCTAAAGCAAGAAGTGTTTTGATCTGCTCGACTGTTGACGGTGACAGTAGGCCGATTGTAACAGGAATAAGAGGAATTGGATTATCAGCAGCCTAGTGAGGCTCTGATGGTCAATCCCAACAGGACATGGCCGGAATATTCTGTACGGCGGCTAACATAGCTAAGCGCGACACGTTAGATCTAATAGCAGATTTTCAAAATACGTCATGTACAAATGCAACATTCGTGATGGCACGTTATTATCAATAAGACTTGTTCTATTTAAACGTCTACTATTCTAGTTTTGTTTCTTGACTGGCTCAGGCCACACCACATTCTTGATTTTCTTATCCAATTCACCTGTTGTCCTCGTGTCCATGAAATGATAAAGCTTGTAATTTAATAGTAGCTGCCTCAGAAATACTATTTCATTTTATTGTCCTGTCTGAGTCCATAAATATGTAGGACATTTAGGGCTGCCTTTGAGATAGAGATATGCAGGTTTGATTTAACCAACTTCTATTTCTGGTGGCTCCGCTTTTCAATCCTAACCCATTTTTGACTGTCGTAAGGATAACTCAATTAGTCGTTTCAATTGATATTATGGGGTATGGGCCTCCGTACATTGGCAGGGCTAGCGGCTACATTGCTCATAGATTGCATTTAACACTCACAAGCCATCTTCTCAATAGTCGAGGTCAAGAAACTGTGGATTTAATTTTTTGGCCCATATTAATTGACAACATGGATAGGAATGATACGGGCTAGTTGCAAGTTACTAAAGAAATGGTTGTGTCAACTGGGCAATTTTTTTTCTAGATTTAATGCAGATTGGTGACTGTAACTGCGTCTTTATAGCTTCTCAATTGCATTCGCGTAGAAATGGACTGTATCTCCTGTCTACTCGTTGGATCGCCCATCCTAATACTTGAAAAAAACCTACCTTGCACATTGGGATGCTCTACAGATAAACCAATCAAGATTTATAATTTAGCACTACTCAACCTCAGGGTCTTATACCGCTAAACAGTAATTCCCAGGCTTGCCCCGACACATCGTCCTCGAATTTTTGTTAGAATTAGCAAAAATATTAAAGTAACTCACGCTTACAAGATATGTTGTTAGAAGATCCACTTCCAAACTAAAACTTATTCTTCAGTATTAATATATATAGGCAGGCTTTAAGAGGGCTAAAAATAAAAATCAAAAGCTCTCACTTCAGCCTCCCGTAAAAAAAGGGAAAATTTTAAAAGATTACTGGCCCATATCTTATCGACTTTGTAATCTCGGACAATAGACATAAAATAATTATGGATTGTCAGATATCGATATGTGTAAATATACGTTGAGTATTGCAAAGAAAATATAATGTAAGTGTAGATGTAGATGAAAGATAATTGATTATACTAAAAGATGTGCTTCCTGTAGAAACTGCCCGTCCTCATTTCCGATCCTGGTCACTTATAAACTATCTTTCCAAAGTGTTCATACGTCATCCATCCTCTTAATAACACATCAAGATTTAATCTTCAAGTTAGATCTAGTCATAGTCCCGTTTACAGAATATTACACTAATATTCGCGATGGTGGTCTTTTCCGATGCTAAACATGTGCCACGCATCTACACCCCTGAGGTGTGTAACTGCTAAACATGCACTGATGTAACAGTTTAACACACATGTATCAAAACTGAACCTCTCACACTTTGAATCATAGACCTTTGAATTATACTCCAAGGAGAAACAGTAGCCTGAAACATATCCGAGCATCTCTGCATATTCCTAGCCCTGGTCTAATTCAAACAATATCACACTAGTTGCATTGACTGATGCAAGTAGGTTCAAGTTCTTTTAAGGCTTCTCATACCGAATTGTTAACTTCTGTCAGACCAGGATCAGAGCCCGATGGATTCCGTATTCCTCACTTAATGTTTCCTGATTCATGTAAATCCATTCTTCCAACATGATCGAAACATTATTGTCAGAATAACATGCCAAGCTGGTACCTGACGTAATTAGTGATTGCCTCAGGAAAACCTTGGCGTTTTTGGGTAATTTTCAGCTAGAAAATACTTGGCGTCCGGGTGACAGACGTTGTGGACTGGTATTGAGTCGGTTTAGGATTACATCTTGGCTACAACATGTTTGGATTGTATCCTGTGATGTAAGGATGCTATTTCTAGATATTATCATCATATGTGAGGCAGTAGATATGTGTAGATATATATGCTGAGAGAAAGAAGAAGACAGACAGAGACAGACAATTACATCTATTATTTACTCCGGTTGAAAGCTCCTGTGCGAGCTATTCTTCCAGACACCTCCAGTCTCAATCATTGAAGCTTCCGAACCAGCTCAAAAGGTTCGACAATTCTCAATCTACTCGTCTCAGCCGACAAAGACGAATTCTTCACCTTCCAGTGGTGCCGGTGTAATCGCTCAGTATGCTCTGCATATCTGGGATTGCCAAGAAGAATCGCATCCGAATCGAAGTCGAAGGCAATCTCAAGCATATCTTTATTTGAAGACTTCTCGACAATGCATCTCTTATCATTCTCATCTGAGTCCTCAATCAATCTCTAACCACGCATCATCTCGCCTCGACGACTAATAAAGAAGTTGCTCCTTTTTTTTGCATTAGATTTTATTTGCGTATGCAGCTATCTAGCTATGACACGTTATCAAAGAAAAGTACAGAATAGATGATTCAACGTAAAGGAAAAGTGTTAGAAATTGTCAAGGATTTCTAGGAGGAAATATCTCGAAGAACAAGTGTACCATTTCGGACAAGAATATATTGATAGTTGTATAGGATATCGAATTCTCTTCTCAATATGAATTAATAAAATATAGTATTTCGATTACTTGGTTCTAGATATATAGATGAGTCTATCATTAAATACAGATCCCGAGGCTTTAGTGATCCCGAACTCTTAGTGATCTAGCAACAACCAGCCACTCAATTATCGCAAGGCAGCATTTCCTAGCCACTGAATCTTATTTTTTCCAACTGAGCTTAATCATATTCAATCGAATCAACTCAATTGATCTTGATGATCATACTTAGAAATCTAAACCTTCATACATGCTGAGTCTAGATTTCCAACAAAAGCACTCATGCCTCGGATTTCATTTTCAAGTACCACTGCGAAGTTATGGTAGCTTTTTCTTCACCCCAAGTCAACCCTTATCCGTGAATACCCACCCAGGGGAACATCTCAAAAGCCCTGAGTTATCCAGACATGCCTCCATCATCTTTCAACTTTTCTCCGCACGAAATGTGGTCTCAGGCGTCTCCTTCCCAAGTGGAGTAGGTGCCCAGGCTACTCAAACTATACTGGAGAACACTACCAGATGGCTGATCACGGCACCTTCCATCGTCTGCTAATTTTTATAGTGTCAGCTGCGCTCTCGCAAGCGAAGTCTTGGCGCGCACAAAGCCCAATTCGTAAAACTCCTTGCCAAAATTCGGAATCTCACGCCTATCCCAAAGAACTGTCTCCCAGATTTGTGCGCCGCTATTTGCATCCTCCGTCGGGTATAATTATTGGCGTGGGCGTGTATTTGGTGGTGTCGAATAAAATATTATAAAATCTAAATAAAGAATCAACTTTATTAAAGATTGTTAATCTGCATGCAATTGAATTACAAAATTAAAGCGTCACTGGCTATATTCGAGTCATGCTTATGTTATTAGATAGATGCCCACCTACCTATGCATAATTCCGCTAGCATTTGTAATTTGTATTTTGTCATTACAATCGAGTCACTTAATATCCTATTAATCTGCATTAATTTTACTATGCTTGGTTATACTTTCCACTTATAATTTGCTATTAAGGGAACAAACAGGACCAATTTCAGAACCATGTAAAGGAGGGAAATACAAGCTGTTTGTATGAATAATTGTAATTATTGGGCTATATCTGAATTTTGGGAGGAAATTATGAGAATAATCTAAAGATGTATTTAAGAACTAAGATAGCATCCTCAGAAAGGAGAATGAATTCAATCAACTCTTAGAAAGATTCACGTTAGTATAACATTGCCTGTTAGGTGGTCATCTGAGGCCAGAAAAGGTCGAAGATTGACGTGATCATTGGTGTGAGGATGTACTTGGTCGAACTTGTAGACTTGATGAGACTTAGGTAGGAGTCGTACTGGTTGGGAGCGGAAAAACCCCGTGAAGGAGTATTTTGAATCATTCCCTCGTAGACCTACCTCTTTGATACTGTGACAAGATCGATGTGTGAAAGTACTTCAATTAATTCTTAGAATATTAAGCTAAAGAGAGAAAAAAATACTATCAAAGGCGAGGGTCCTGCCCCAAACTATATACAAAGAATGTGGGTAACATGATTGAATTTGCGGGGAACATCGCCTTTATGCCTCAGGCCACCCTCATTATTAGCATTGTAACAAATTGTCACATTATCTCCCCCTTCGAAAAAAGCTCGCCCTCGAGGTTTTACTCATTGGTTTGTTGTTGTCAAGGTCGTCATAATTATCTCGACCTTGTTACCATGCCTTTATCCAATCCTCCAGCTTCCATGGGGTTCCATCTTGTTCCTTGTTTGCAAGATGGAAGTCTCTCACCTTGTGGGGAGCATACTTGAGATCTGATGCGGGATACCAAGTGGGATAGACGTCGTGATTGTCACAGATCAACTATAGAAAGCATGGAGCATTTGTATGGATGATGGTATATTAACAATTCAACTATGTAGAACTAAGCTACAGAT